GGCCACGACCCGCTAAAAGTGAGGCGGTGGGGTCCAAGGCAGACCCCTGAGACTCACGCAACTCAGTATCGACCTGAGTCATCCGTGCCTACCAAAATTAATATAAAGAAGTTAATTATAATATAATGATATTTACACTGTGATATTATATTAATATTTAATTTATTACTTACTGCTATCTCCTCAACCTCATCCAACGCACGCCCGTCTCGAGGTCTATACACCATCGGCCACATCTCGCCATAAGTGGCCGTGTATCCCCTCTCCTGCCGTATCTTTTCCCTCTGTAAATGAAACCAAAGAAATAATTAGTTACAAATTAAATACATATACATATTTAATAAATTTATTTCAAGTACTCACAATCTCGTCATAAGTTATCGCAAAGCTCCTGCATCCAGTCCTATGACGTATCGTCTGATGCCTGACGCTCCCAGCATTTCTCCTAGAAAGAGCCTGAAGCAAAATGTAAAAAAATTAAATTAAATCAGTCAAGTCGGATAAAAAATAAAGAAATTATAATTAATACAATATTATCATACCATCTGGTCAGCCGTCATCCTAAAATAGACGTAACTGGACCAGTCTTGCTCTGGGACTCCACCAGGTACATCTGCCAGTATCTCCTGGAGGGGCCTCGTCCCGTCACCTTTCTTCTCCCTCCATAGGTCGGCCCTCCTGTTCTTCCATGCCATCCCAAGCCTCTTGATCGTGTCAGCCCTCAACTCCTCCCCCAGAATAAATTTACTCTATGATTAAAATAATAAATTAACTAAATAACAAATTATAAACAAACAATTAAACAATTTCAATAAAAATATTTAGTTTTTAACTAATTTAAAAATATTATAAATAAAATATAAATTATATCAAAAACAAATAATAATTAAACAATTAAGTAATTTAAATGAAAAAATATTTTTACTCAACTAAATTTAAAATTATTATAAGTAATAAATTAATGAAATCAATAACAAATTATTTTCATTTAACTACTTTTAAATAATTTAAATAAAAAATATATATTCATTTAACTACTTTTAAAAATATTATAAATAACAAACAAATTAAATAAATAAAAAATTATAATCAAACAATTAAATTATTTGAAAAAAATATATAATCATTTATTTAAATTAAAAAAATTATAAATAACAATTTTATATTACCTTCATCATTTCCCAACCTTGCTGCTTCTTCTCTGAGGTGATCTTCTTCCAGTCCTGCACGTAGATGGGGAACAGCGTCCACTGCTGACCAAGGAGGCGCACGTACTTGTTGTACAACTGGCCACCTTTTTTCATCGGTTGGCCCAACTCATTGAGCGGCACAACCACTCGTCTGCTCGTCATCATCGACAGCTCTCTGGCTGTCAGCCTCCTATAGGACCTGTTCCCCTCAGTGTCTGCAAAATTTAATTAAGAAATAAATTATATATCAATGAATTAATTCAATTTCTATATAAATTAAATACTTATCAAAATTTAAAAAAGTTAAATAAATACTTACCGACAAATTCCACCTCAAAACCAGCCTGACGTCTGGGAGCAGGACGCTGCGCAGCCTGGGGGTTCTCATTCCCCTGATCCTGCTCCTCCTCCTCCTCTTCGTTAGCAGCATCAGCATCAGCATGAGGTTGCTCATCCCCAGTAAAATGAGCCTCCTCAGTCCGCTCAATATCATCCTGCTCCATAAAACTGAGGATATCCTCCTCGCTGAGATCGTAGTCATAATGCTGGGGAATGGCTCACCAGCATCATGATGATCCTCACTGGGTCCAGCTCTCTCAGGATCAACTGGCTCCTTCCCTGGCCGACGACTCATCCTAATAACAACAGATAGTAATTATTTATAAATAAAATAAAAAGAAAAATTATTTATAAGCCACAACATAATAAATTAAATAAAATAAAACATAAAAATAAAAATTATCTATCAATAAATTACTACTTCTACCTGAAAATAAGGATTTGCAACTAAACCAGAACTCGGATATATTTTGTGGAGAAAATTCAGTAGAGCTTCGCTTCCTGAACGATTGAAGAAGTGAAAGTGAAGGGGGGTATATATAGGCCGAGCATTTCTACCGGTTTATGTAGAAACCGCTAGAAATTTCTAGCGGTTCTGGGAAAAATCGCTATAAAAGCCTAACGGTCACCAACCCATTTACCGCACCTCGGGAATTTACAGAAATTTCTAGCGGTTCATGTAAAAACCGCTAGAAATTACTAGCGGTTTTTAGACAAACCGCTAGTAATTTCTAGCGGTTTTTACATGAACCGCTAGAAATTTCTCTCGGTTTCTCTGCATTGCAACGGTCACATAAAAACTCCTCGGGAAATTAAAAAGTTTCTAGCGGTTCATGTGTTAACCGCTAGAAATGTTCCTAATCTAGCGGTTTATTGGCCCGAACCGCTAGAAAATAAACACTACAATTTTGGCGCCAAGTTCCCGCCAAACCCCGGGAAATTTTCTAGCTCTGAATTTCTAGCGGTTAGGTTATAACCGCTAGAAATATGCGGGCAATGGTCAAAGCGTCGCTAATTTGCAGCGGTTTTTCTTAAAACCGCTAGAAATGTTGGAGTTTCTAGCGGTTTTGCTTGAACCGCTAGAAGTGTTCCGCTGCTAACTCAACATTTTCTTGTAGTGCCAATACAAAGCTCCCCTCACATGCTTATCTCATATCACGTAAATCATAATTGAAAAGTTGCTTTTAGATCTTATATGCTTGATGTTTGGGAAGTATCAGAAGTGCTTCTGAAAAGCACTTTTCCGCAAATCAAGATAAATTTCTCTACATCTTTACTTCGTATAAAAAAGCTTTTAAAATCATGGTTTTGATTCTATCTAAATACTTCGATAATTATGTTTCACAATCCACCTTTTGGTCTATAAGTAGGATGGGTCAAAAACTCACCCAAATAACTAAAAATTTTTTTCCCCAAAATATACTTGTGAGCTAAATAAGCTGCTTTTTCTACTATTAAATCGCGAAACCAAAGAAAGCCTTGAAAGATCCAACCACAGTTCCAAACAGTTTTCCTCTTTTATAAAAACACATGTCGCATTTGAAAATTCAAAACATATACTATCTCTGGTCCTTAATATAACACCCTGTTAATTGATTTTTATTTTGGTCATAAATATAAGAACCCAACCCACTTTGTCTCTCATATTTATATGTATTTTTTTTCAAAGTGGCCCTTCTAATAATAATAGTTCTAGTCAATACACTTGATTAGTAAGAATATTTTAGGAAAAACAACACCTATTTAGGACAAATAACTAACTCAACTTACTTCCTTACTCTCTTCAAATTAGTCAACTGGCTTTTATAGTTAGGACTGGAGGTAGTATAATAAGAACATCACATTGGTTATATGAATCACGCAGCATATCTATTAACAATTAGCTCTTTGGATATGTCATTCACTAAAAAACTTCATTAAATGACTTCAAATATCTTTCTCAATTATATATATAATTAATAGCAAGTTCTATTATGTACAAATTATGAACTATACAGTTCCTCAGATATTAATATTTTCCAATTATTATCATATTCATGTCAATTGAATTATTTGCAGGCCTGTGTTTGAAGAGTTAGCAGGGAAGCCGTCAATATGGGAGGCCATGTCTCCTCAAGTGCTAGAAGTGGCTCTCAATGTGGATTCTGATTTTGTGAAACCCTTCTTGTCCAATAACTAGGATTGAAGCCACAAATCTCAATAATTAATTGAATTGTGTCTTTTAATTTTCAAAGAAGACAAGGGCGTGATTTGTGTGATTCCAGTAAGAGTCAGAATAAAATTTACTCAAAATATTTGAGCAAGTTTTAGAAGTGAATGGAGTTTTCATTTGCATATTATATATATTTCAGCAAAACTCAATAAATGTTTATGCTTGTGTCCAAATAAAGATAAGTACTATATGTACATGCGATGGTTTCAGTTGAATATATAATATCTAGTTTATTTTATTTGTTAAATATTGGAAGTAGAAGTTGTAAATATTTACAATCTTAGAGAAATAAAAAATAAAGGCCCATTGGCATTGTGTATTTAAAAATAAGTGCTAAATTTATTATTTATTAAGATAACAATTTTTTGACATCAAGATAACAATAATTTACAACTGCCACCTTCATTATTTAACATTCATAATTTACCAAGGAGACAATTTAGTTTACACGCATTATTTATTTATATAAAGAAGGCTGAATAAGATTAATAAAAGAAAAGGATGAATAGTGGAAAATATTGACTGGACCTCGTATTCCTAAAACAATTCCAAACAAAAGGTCTAAAATGGAAATATCTATTCAATAAAAAGAGTAACTTATCTCACGCCAAACTTCATGTAATGGTAAATTATTTTATTGTTTCACCAACACATTATAGTTTATTTTCCCCAACATCTAGTTACTCCCTTTGCTCTCAAATGTCAAAAATATTTAGAGATTGAATTTTATTGTAAATATATTATGATTTATTTTATTTATCATATTTATTATTTTTTTAAAAAAATAATTTTCCTAACTCATAAACTAATACATAATTTATTTGAGTTTTTAAATTTATTTAAATTAATTAAACACTATCTCTGGTCCTTAATATAAAACCTTATTTGACTTTTATTTGGTTCTAAATATAAGAACTCAATCCACTTTATCTCTTATATTTATGTATTTTTTTAAGATAATCCTTCTAATAATGATAGTTTTAGGCAACACATTTGATTAGCAATGATATTTTAGAAAAAACAACATTTATTTATTACAAATAACTAATTTAAATTATTTTTTAATCTTTTTAAATTAATTAATTAACTCTTATAATTAGCACCGGGAATAGTAGTTATTATATCAAAGAATGAGGGAAATAATTGAGCCTCGCTTTACTATTTTAAATACTTCCAGAGAGGGGAAAATGAATACAGGAAAAGGGCGGGAAAGGTCTCTTCTTGCGTCGCTCGCCTGGTTCTTTTCGTCTCACCGGCTCACATGTAGAGTTGAATTTCCTTTCCCTTTTTGCTCTGAATCAACCCTATTGTTTCTTTCTCCTCCATAATCCATACGTTGTCACCGAACGAAAACCCAGAGCGATGTCCAAGTTCGAGTACCCCAGGCTTTCGCGCCCCGAGATCACTGCTATTTTGGCGCAATTTCAGATTGCAAATGTGTCCGAACATCAACTCATGACCCCGAACATGGACTTTGTTTGGGACCTCTACTTCCGGATCCTCAATCACCTCGACTCTCTTCCCGAGTAACATCTCCACACTCCGCTTTAACCCTATTGTCATTCTCGCTCATTTTTGTCAGACATGACTGTGTTGGTTTTCTGTCCAGTTGGCTTTAAGTTTTTTTTCCCCTTGCAATTTCAAAGAGGGCTTTTGTTCTCATGCTCCGGTAATGGCTTACGGAAAGGAAATGTGAGCTTGAACTGAATGTTTTCATGTAAAGGGATGTCATACAGACGCCAAGGAGGGCTTTTTGAATGCGGGGTGGGCACTTTTAGCAGATTTAGTTTTATATTATACAGAAACTGTATACTATTAAATAATTTGAATCCAAGAGACAAATATCCGTAAGTAACGTGTTGAATAATCTCCTCTTCCCCAAAAGTTCAGTATGCACTTGTAAGACTCGGAAAAGTGGATCTTCCCAACTTGCTTCTTCCGTTACATGCAATGGATAAAAATTATGTGCAATTTTCTACATTCTTGCCATTAGGCTCTCCAATTAAAAAACAACAAGCTTATGAGTCTCTAATAATAATAATTGAACAAATGTATGTTTCTCCAATTAAACCATGCACTTTTCATATTGTTATAGGAAAAATGAAATTGTTATGCTTCATTTGATGATAGGTATATATAACTACATATGTATTTGGACCATTTGTAATCTAGGGCTTATCCATTTGGAAATCAGAACATTTCAATTTTAAAATTATTGTTGCTCTCATGTTGTTCCCTCTGTTCAAGTCTTTATAGTATTGGAAATCCCATGTTACTTTTTCTTTAGTGCCTGCTGCCTTCTTTTACTTACAAAGTCTCTAATTTGGACAGGGAAGACCATGTTGAGTTTGCTGCTCTAGAGCATCTTGAGAACCCAGACTTCCATGTTGACTCTGTTCGGGTAATGAAGATGTACAGCAGAATAAAGGAAGTAGTGGCCTCGTTGGATTGCCCGAGGAACTTTACCCTCAAAGATCTTTTAACACCCGAGGCTGATAGAACAGAGTTTTTCCTGGGCGCACTTCTAAATTTCTGTCTGCATAGGTGAATGTTTTTTTGCCTTGGCTCCATGTACTTGTGGGAAATTAGGTAAACATAGAAAGTAGAAGCCTTAAAATGTAGAGGGGAAGAAAATACATTCCTTAGTGAGCTAATGAAGTTGGGTTCTTGGTTTAGAATGGAGATTTTCTGTGTGTGTTAACTACTTGGGGAAAAACCTTTGGTGATGGGTTGAAACTCTCAAGAGGTCAGTTGCGTCATGGAGGCACTGTCGAGGACTTCAAAGTAGCTGGCACACAGCGTTTTCTGTTATTGCTTTTCAATTATCTTATGGCACCTTTTTTTTTTTTTGTAATCTTAGAGAAACGAGATTGAATTCGATTACAGACATAGTGGATGAAGTCAACCTTCTTGAGGAACAGCAGAGAGATCAGGAAACAAAGATCTTGCAGGTTTATAGTTGATACCAAAATTGTTTTTATTTTACCTATTTTCAGGGCATCAGATTTCATTGAATGCTTTCAGTTTTCCATTACAGTTGAAGTCAGAAATTGATGGCTACAATGAAGCCAGGGAAAGGGAGGCAACTCTTGTTCAAGAGGTGGATGCAAAAGTTAAAGAACTGCGTCAAACCATTGCTGCCCTTAACACCAACCAGATGTCACTTAGAGCTACTTTTCGGAAGTTGAAGGAGAAGACAGGGGAAATGGATGGGAAGGTGAATCTTGGCTAGAACTTAGTAGATGAATGATAAAGCCCAAGTATTTTTTTTCCAGCACCTCCATCTGAAACTTTTTATTTCCACCATTGAGTTGAGTCTCTCAGGCAAACTTTGTACTTTCATTTCTACAACGAAATCCTCTTATCGGAAATTATTTCACCAGAACTCTTTGACTCAGTTTGTCATAAATCTCCCACGTAGTCATCTATTCTTTCAGTTAAACTACATCTCAATACTTATTTGCCAAAACACCTCACTCGTTAAGATACCCTTCAACCCATTTGCACTGTAGATATGTTACACATGAAAAATACAGACCACCAAATTTCCGCAAGTATGTATTTCAAGATGTCATTTAATTTTCCACCATGTTAATATCAACAGTGGGCCTTTTGACTGATAGTAGATGCAGATCTCTTACTGCTCTGACTGATAATGGAATTTTATCAGAGCGAGTTATTAAATATGTGGCAAGACTGATTATATTTTTGTGTCTTAATTTGGTTATTTTGTAGAGCATTTGGAAATAGGAGAGCCAAATTTATGACAGATCTCACTGTACTTACAATATCCATTTTCTGCTTGTAAGAATCAGCAATTCCATTGTATTTCTCTGGATAAGTTATCATTCATTCGTGTGAAGATGACTCTATTTCCAGATAGTTCCAGCAGATGGGTTTTCATTGCATGCCTCATTGTAGCTTGCTACTTTACTTGCTTCTAGCTTTGTTTCAATTTAATTATTGAGATTTACTTAGTCTTTGTTGTTAGTTCCCATTCTCTCTTCCCTCCAGTCAGAACACTGCGTTTTTTTTTTTTGGGGGGGGGGGGTTGGCTTTTTTTCCTCAGTCATATTAGTCCTCAATTATCCATTTCCCTTTTCTGACCGCAGATCTCTTCTGCTGAGTTTACCCTTGTACAAAGTGTTCAAGAAAATGCAAACCTACGATCAAAAGTTGTTCAGTCCCCTGATAAATTGCAGGTACTATTTTTAGTCGTTTCTTAGTTTTCAATGGGCATCAGTTAAAAATGTTTGTCCATCAAGTTTATTGGTGTTAATAACTCTGGTACTTCTGCAGGCATGATTGAACCAATTAGTTTTATGTGTCTCATTTAGCAATTAGTAGGTTATATAGTTTTACTTTTCCTGCCGTGATTTGCTTTTCTGAAGTTTTCTTTATTGCAGTTATTGGATTATTTTCATTCTTGTTGGTACCATTCACCACAGTAAGATCTAATTCTTTTTCTAATTTTGATGAAGTAGCTGGTTTTGGTAGTGTTTCCCTTTTCCTTTAATGCTTACTTTAAATTTACATAATCAAGATTTTTTTTTTTTTTTAGTGTTGTCTTGAAGCTACAATTGTTATAAGCGCTTAATTAGTTGTTGTCAATTGTTGAAGTATGGAAAGAAAGAATTTGCACTTGGCTGGTGCTAGCTGTATTACAGTAAGCTGCACCTTTGAACTAAGTCATGTATAGGGTTATGATATTTGCGCAAGCCACTTCTCACCTATCCCTCTGAAACAGGTTGTTCCCACCCTAACATATTGCAACAAGGTAGACAAGTTTTAGATGTGGTTTGCTCCCCACAAGAGGGGATTTAATACACACAACCACAGTTGTCAGATTGTGACATGTATCATGACTTGGAAAACATTTTTTACTCCTGAATTGTATAATTTATTGTAAGATGTGTCTGATTGTAACATTCAGTAACAAGTTAAAAACACCTTAAAACATAGAATATGACATTTTAAATGTGATTTGCGGCAATTAATCATATATTAAATGTGATCTCCAGAACTTTTGGGGACAACTCGGATGGCATAATCAATCTTCTTTCCAATATTGGTTTTCATCAAGCTTATAAGCTAAGACATCACTCGCTTGTTCTTGGCTTTCCAAACATTACATTGAGTCATTTCTGGGCAGCTTCTCTGTTTAGGCAGTCATCCTTCTCTTTCTTGCAGATGAATATGACAGCGATTGAGTCTATTCAAAGTAACTAAATTTGTTGGTTTGTCAATAGTGATATTCGTTGGTATGTTATTGGCAATCCCTTCATTGGCTGTTGACCATATTTTGGCATAAAAAGGGATCAGGCCTATGAGGCTGTGATATCATTCGAGGGTTCAGTAATTAATGCTCTGATTCTCTCATGATTCCAGTCTGAACAAGGGGTTTTATTTAGGCCCTCTAGGATGAGGAAAAATATTGATAAATTAAGCTTAAGGAAAAACTTAATCAAGGTATGTTTACAAGGACATAAAGAACGAAATAAAATGTTGACCTGACTAAAGATAGATGCTTGTTGAAGTCTTTTGGGTTGTTTTTGATACCTAATACTTGTTTTCCAACTTTGACTCGTAAATTCTCTTGCACAATTTCGCTCAGAGAGCATTGGAGGAACAAAAACTAGCTCGAGAAGAAGCTAAGAATGCGGAAAGATCAGCCATGCAAACTTTCCATGAGAAGAATGCCCTTGTTGACCTTTATTCAAAGGTATTTTATTCATTTCCATGGTAATTATTCAACTTCATATGCATGTTCTTTTTTTTTTCCCTTCTGTCGATTATATTATGAGGTCTATATTTTATCTAAGTGAAAAAAAGTATTTTCCTTAATTCTTGAACGTTAATCTTGGATAAAGAGTTCAAAGTTGAACTTATAGACCTTGTTCATTTCTTTATTTGTTTTCAATTGGTTTAATAATTTCAGTTTCATATCCCTATGAGAGGTTTAGGCTTTTTTTAAATCTTATAATGCAACTGCTGATAAATATAAGAATGCATACAGGCCATGCCAGATCTGATATATTTCTTACTATTGTTTTTCTCAGGTTGAGAAGAAAATGTCAAAGCACTTTGCTCAGATGCAAGCCATACAAGATCAGGTGTTGCCTCTAACATTTTGATTTGTTTAGTTGCTGTGAATTCTGCATGAATATGGGAGACTGAAACCTTTTATTTTTGTTAGTTTTGATTTGAATTAAGTTCATACAAGAGCGGCTCTACTCAAGATATGAGATATATTGTGGATGTAATATTTCCTGTCCTTGTTAACTCAACTCCAAACACCTTGTTTGA